GTTCCAGGAAGGCAACTAGGAAACCAGTTTGAGCTGAGTTCTGGATGTGAGGGTAGTATGGAAAGTCTATCTTGGGAATTTGTCACTTTGAGTTTGTCTACCAACTTGTTACAGGATTTCCTCAAGCTCGAAATTAATGTGGAAACCACTGAAAGTGAGATTTAAAAGTATATAAAGTTATGAAGCAGAGGAGAGAGTTCACAGGAACAAGTCAGCACGTAGAATGAACAGAACTGGAGCCTCAGGAACTGCAACAATAGGATCTTTAGAGAGTGAGCGCCTCTTAAGTATGTTAAGACAGTTAGTGATATGCAGAATCAAAAATGTACAGGAACAAAACACTGGAGAATAAGATTTTTTTTTAAAATATATTTTATTGATTTTTTACAGAGAGGAAGGGAGAGAGATAGAGAGTTAGAAACATCGATGAGAGAGAAACATCGACCAGCTGCCTCCTGCACATCTCCCACTGGGGATGTGCCCACAACCCAGGTACATGCCCTTGACCGGAATCGAACCAGGGACCTTTCAGTCCGCAGGCCGACGCTCTATCCACTGAGCCAAACCGGTTTCGGCGAGAATAAGATTTTTAAAAGGACCAGGAAATTCTACAAATATAAAATACAGTCATTAACAGTAACCAGCAAATGTGACACAGCTGAGAGAATCACTTAATCAGACGGTAGATCCAGGAAAATTAGGAAGTTTGGACAAAGAGGGAAAGTGATGGCGAATGACTGAAGAAATAAAGTGAGATAGGGAAGGAAGGTGACATGAATATGCCCGATATACATGTAGTAGAAAAGATAGGAAAAAGTGGAAGGGGGGATCAGAGGAGATAACCCAAGAATTTATCAGAATTGATGAAAAGCAAAATAGGCATGCCAGATTTTAAGGTAACCATTACATGAATACAAATAAAATGTGTAATGCCAACATAATAAAAACTATAGTGTAACAGGGAATATTGACCCATTAGAAAGGGCAAAGGGAGAAAACAAGCATAAAGGAAAAATAATTAAAATAGGAAACGCAAAATATGGTAGAAGTTAATCCAATTAGCAATATAAAACAATAAAATCTTAAAACCAAACTTGTCCATCAGAGATTATTAGACTCATTTTTTTTAAAGTGAATTTTTCAATGGTGGTGAGCATAGACACATCAAAACATTGATGAGAAACATCATGTATCGGCTGCCTCCTGCATGCCCACTACTGGGGATCGAGTCCGAAACCCAAGGCATATGCTCTGACTGGGAATCAAACCATGACCTCCGGCCGGGCCAGTATAAAAGATCTGAAAAACAGACCAGCTTGCTCTGATGGGTCCCAGCAGTCAGAGAATGGATATTGCCTTCAAGCACATACAAAGAAAATCATATTCAGCTGTAAGTCTCATCACATTTCAAAAAAAACTATAAAAAAGATAGCATCCTCTGTTTAATTTAAAAATGAAATTACGTGTTTTTAAGGTAAAGGAAAATACACCTTTGAATCTAAAAAATTCTAAATCACTTAATCAAGAGAACTAATAATGGAAAAAAATAAAATATAACTAATAAGGAAAACACATATCAGACCCTGGTGATGCAGCCAAAGTGGTATGGAGGAGAAAATCTGTAGTTTTCAAAGCTTATATTAGAAAGAGCAAAGTGGAGAAATTGTAAAGCTAAGCAACCAAAGCAAGGATTTATAGAAAAAAGAAAGCAAATGTAAAGAAATAAAAAGAACAGAAATAAAGATACAGTGATTAAAATTAATAAGTTGCAAACCGGTTCTTTGAAAAGACTAATAGACAAGCCTCTGGCAAAATTAATTATAAAAAATATTTAAAATAAATAAGGCCTTTTTTTAAAAAAGAGAAGACTAAACAACTGGGCAGTCTACTTGAAAACTTAATGAAATGGGCAGTCTAAAAATAGCAATACATAATAGTGGGAAAGGATAGACCATATAATATACTGTGTGTGACACATTGCTCATTATCATATACAGTTGTACTCAAGGTAGATTAGAAACCTCAATGTGCAAATCAAATTTAAAAGAAAGTAGAATCATGCCAAAAATTGAACCCACCAAATGATCATTAACAACAAGAGAGTGGATAAATTGTTGTAAATCTGTACTATGTGGTATATTGCATACAAATGGAGCCGTCTCATCTTAACAGGAGCAAATGTGCATGTTACAACTTGTGTAATCTCAAGTTTGAAAACAAAATAACTTCATATATAGTTACCCAGTAAAATAGAAAAACTTCCATAGGAATGATAGGCACCAAATCATGGGTATCTTTGCCCCTAGGAACAGTGGAAGGAGGAATGGATTATGGAGCAGTACATAGTAATAATCAGTCATAATCTGTACCACGTCATTTCCTAAAACATTATGGAGGTTTTGGATGGAATGAGACGAGAGGGAAATAGTAAGATTTTTTCCAATTGGGTCATGAGCTTCATTGTATATTATAATCCGTGATTCTCTCTGCATTGGAAACATTTAATAAAATGATTCATTGTTTTAAGGCATAGTTTTTTTTTATTATTACTAAGGTTGAGGAATTTGGGGAGGAGGCCATTAATACATATTTCTTTTAGCTTTTGGATTTTCTGTTGAAATATTTTGCCCATGTTTCCGTAGAGATTAACTTTCTATATTGCTTTAAATTACCTTAATTTATTAAAGATAGTAACTCTGTTAGTTTAAAATATTTTTTATTAAAATACTTACAAATTTTCAGATTAAGTATTTATGACTTTGGCCTTCTTCAAACTGAGATAAAAAATATAATACTTGTATATTTTCTTTGTTTTATGGTTCCAGTCTGTATATTTTCTTAGTCTACTTATATTTTTAATGTGGCTTATTTTTTAAATTTCTTCTTGCCATAATGTTACTTACTGAATAATCTATCTTTACTCACTGGCTTGAAATAGCTCTATTAGTTCTTAAAATATACCACTAAAGATTTAAAAATATATATATATATATATCTGAATATTCTGTTTTGTTGATATTTCTTTCTACCTGAATCAGTTTAATTTTTTCCAAGTAAAATACATGCTGATACACTAAAATAGTATTAAAGGTTATAACAAAACTAGAGGCCTGGTGCACCTCAGCCTGGTGCCGCGCTGCTCCGGGCCCTGCTGTGTTGCCATGGGGGCGAGAGAGGCTCTCGCCACTCACCTGAGCTCTGAGCTCTTTGTCTGGCGCCTGTCGGTCAGCTGAGCAACGCTCCTGCTTTGGGAGTGCACTGACCACCAGGGGGCAGCTCCTGCATTGAGTGTCTGCCCCCTGGTGGTCAGTGCACATCATAGTGACCTATCAAACGGTCTACCAGTTGACCAGTCGCTTAGGGTTTTATATATATAGACTAGGAGCCCAGTGCATGAATTCATGCACCTTGAAAGGAACTGTGGGCCGTGAGGCTGTGGTGGGCATGGGGGCAGGTCTCAGCCCATCCTCCAAGTTCCCGCCTGGCCCCTCCCACCGCAGCCCCCGGTCCCCTGTCTGCCTGCAGCCCCACTTCTGCCGCTGCCGTCGGGTGCCAGCAGTGGGTGCTAGCGCCCAGTGGGACTGCGGCATGCGGGAGCAAAGGATTTTCAGTAACCACCAGAGGCTCGCCCCGATGATAGCAACCGGCACCCCACCTTGGTCTGGCACCCCAGCTCACCTGCTCCACCATCCTGCTCCTGCCGCAACCGACGCCCTCCATGTTCCGCACTCTGCCACCTGCTGTTGATGCCCACCATGTACTTCGTGCGCCCCGATGGTCAGCGCACGTCATAGCAACCGGTTGTTCTGCCATTCGGCCTATTTGCATATTAGCCTTTTATTGTATAGGATAGCCTTTTCTGCCTCACCAACCCCCATTCCCATTCTCTCCACTACCTCTCCCCAGAGGCAGCTGTTTTAGACTTTGGCTGTTTATTCTGTTTGTTTTTACACATCTCTATAATTCTCAGTAGTGCATGTCCACTGCTCTTGTGGTTAATCATGTTTGACACCTGCAACTTTTCTGTTGGAATAACAGGATTTGGTCTCTTGCCTGCCATTTCTTCTGCTTTTTTGTCCTTCACCCTCAAAATGTATCTTTGTTTAAATCTACTCCTAATCATTTTAAAATAAAGTTTTGATTATTTCTATATTTTTAATGTATGCTTCTGAAAATATAGCTAAGCATTGTAATAGACTGTATTATTACCTTTTTGTTTTTATTGAAGTAGGTAATTGCAACCTTTCCTTTGTACCTGTTGCCTTCTCATACACTTGGGACAGTTTTCCTAGAGAGAGTCTCATTCAGTGGTTTTCAACCTTCCTAATGCCGCGACCCTTTAATACAGTTCCTCATGTTGTGGTGACCCCCAATTTCATTGTTACAGATTGAACATAATTAACACATAGTGATTAATCACAAAAACAATATGTAATTATATATGTGTTTTCCGATGGTCCTAGGCGACCCCTGTAAAAGGGTCGCGACCCACAGGTTGAGAATCGCTGCAATTAAATGATCTAGAACAGCGGTTCACAACCCATGGGTCGCCTAAGACCATCGGAAAACACATATATAATTACATACTGTTTTTGTGATTAATCAGTATGCTTTAATTATGTTCAGTTTGTAACAATGAAATTGGGGGTCACCACAACATAAGGAACTGTATTAAAGGGTCGCGGCATTAGGAAGGTTGAGAACCACTGATCTAGAAGGTCTAGTGTTTTTTTGGCGCCTTTCCTCCTGGACTTTCTCTCTTCCTCCTGGGCTGGCTGCTTGCAAGGCTTGCAGACAAACTTATGAATGGGGCTGGTTCACTTTTACCTTTATTGGGATGTGAATAGTGGGGTCTCTTCTCCACTCTAGTTTTCAATAAATAGACTTTGTTGCTACATTGGAAATGTACTGATGTTGAGATATTTTATAAGAAAATACATTCCTATTGATCACTGTTTATTATCGAGGGTGCATGTTGATTTCCTTAACTTTTCTCCAAGTCATGTTTATAACTACTGCACGAGTGTTCACCAGTCAAATCAAACTCGAGGGGCTGGCGTCCCTCCTTCTAAATCGAAAAAGGGGCAAACGCCTGGGGGAGCGCAATTTGTTGGCTTGGAATTATACAAACGACTTAAAGAATTTTTGAAGAATTACTTGACAAATCTTCTTAAGGTAAGACGTTTGACAGATATGCTGAGCATTTCTAATAGAACATTAAAAAGATAGTGAAATAATAAATCTAATTTCAGTGCTAAATCTTTCACTGTCATTTGTTCATTGTTTTCATCATTGAGTTTTCGTGCGGGTGTTTTGTTAATTTGTTAAATTAGGAGTTTTCGATATCCTTACATTATAGTAATACTCTTTCCTTAAATTGCTAACCATTTTGTGATTTGGTTGTTAGAAATTGATGAACTGTTTAAAGTATATAATTATGAATTCAAATGACCTGTATTGTACTTGGAACCCAATGTGCTGTTCTGAATCAGAATGTACGTGTGATTGTGAGGTTTTCCAACCTATAGTAACCACATTTTCCCAATGTGAATCTTGCCTTTTACACACAATCACATGGTATATCTCCGAGCTACAATGAAATTGTGCCCTTGGCTAGGATGGGTTTCACTAGAACACCATTGCCTTCAAGTGTGGGTTCCTCCTGCTCTGAGCTTCTCGCTTGGGCAGCGATGGAGTTTTTCCCCTTCATCTTCTGCCTTTTTCTTCCCCAGTCTCCATCCTCTGTAGCAAAGGCAGTGTGATGCCTTCCATCCAGCCACAGGATGGGCCAGTGGCTCCTGCATCTGGTGCTACACGTATTACATAGAGTGAGTGAAGACATCTCTACTCTTTACTCTGGGAATTGGCGTTCTGTGTATATATTTTTAAAGATTTTTTTATTTACACAGATAATAGGCAAAAATTTCAGCATATTTCAAAATTGTTTTTTAAATATATTTTACAAGCTAATTGGAAACTTTAAGCATTCTAACAGAATAGATTGACCACAGGTTATGACTTAGATAGTATCCTTTTCATGTTCCCTAAACTGTTTCTAATGTCTTACTGAAGCTACTGTGTCCTCCTTGTTTTTATTAAGAACACTGTAAAATGAACACTGGAATTATTCTTTAGTGTTAAAGTAAAGAACGTATTTTGTGTTGTATAAAGTATTTATAGCCATGCTATCAGTGAGATTGTTTTTTTAAAAAGGTCGAATAGTATAATCCAGAATAGCTTAACTTTACATTTGATTTCTTATTATGTAAATTTAAATGAACAAAAGTGTGGTTGTATCACGATATGATCAGGTTTTCATAGGGCTGTTGGATTGCTGTGGACCATATAGTGTGGGGCTGTTTTACATGACCCTGAGTCTGAGAGCAGTTACTGGGCTCGCCCAGGCCCTTCGTTCTTGTGCACAGTCACGGAGGTGCGCCCTCCCTCTGGCTCCACCTCCTGTGTTCTCCTGTACAGCACTTCTCTGTGATTCTGCCATTTCATGCTCCGTGTTAAGGGATAACACTCTGTAGATGTTATTAATACCTAAGAAAAAATTTCAAGTTAGTTTTCTTCAAATAAAAATTTGTGATTTAAGTTACAGCTCAGTAAAAATAATTTTCGTTAATGTACAGTTTCCTCATGAAGTCTTGTTAACAAATTATACTTATTATAAAAATGTAACAGATTACCGCAAAAAGCTTTAAATTTTTATAATTTTTAAGTAAACCTAATGAAGAAGGAAGATGAATTTAAAAATAAATGGTATTAGCCCATGATCTAAATTGTGAACAAGACATGTTAATCTTCTAACAGACAAAAGATATCAAAAGGATGATTTTGAGGTGAATTCTTGTTTGTTAACAAAAAGGAATTACTCTCATACTCTAAAATTGAGGGTTCTTTTTATGAGTGTGTATATATATTTAACACCATGAAAAAAGTGCCAGTTTGAGATGAAATAATTTTAAATAAAATCCTCTCTTTAGTCCTCATGAGCCATATCCTTGTGAAAATTCAAATTAATGAGCATGTTTTTGTAAACAGAATAATTTAAAGAACCCATCTAGAACCATATCCATTAATGTGTTTTAAAAACAATATGTTTGTTTTAGTTAGCTTTTATTATGTGACACAGTAGTCACCTTTAAAGCTGTAGTTCCCTTGTTTTCAGGATGGAGAAGACTTGATGGATGAGAGTGTACTGAAGTTCTACACTCAGCAGTGGGAAGATTACCGGTTTTCCAGCAAAGTTCTGAATGGAATTTGTGCCTACCTCAATAGACATTGGGTTCGCCGTGAATGTGATGAAGGACGAAAAGGAATATATGAAATCTATTCTGTAAGACTTCTTAGAACACCAAATGTCTGTTTTCTTAGTGATGTGTCATCTTTTCAGTTGGGGGAATCCAGGCAAATGTTAAGCTATTTTCAAAATAGTAGGCTAATTTCCCTCATTTTAATTTATCAATAAATGACCCTTAATTTGTGGCAAGTAGGGAGAAGGGTGAGTAAACCAGAGATCTAAAATTCAGCCTGCACACTTCTGCGGTTTCTCATTAAAAGTTCCTTCTTCATTTATTTGACCAGCCATCAGGTTTCACTGAAAGCCTGACTCCTGGCTGAGTCAGGCCCATCAGGGCCCTTCCCTGACACTCCAGCCAGGATCTGGGAAACTGCTTCGCAGAGAGGACTGTGAAATCCCTCTCCCCTCACTTTATACAGTAACATAATATCCGGAATGATCGTTGTAGAGTTTACAATTGATGGTTGTTGTTGTTTTTTTTAAGACTGCGTGAAAATAAATTTTGAAGCTAATTTGTTAAATCACCTTCATTAATAAGTTTCTTCAGTCAAGGAAGTTTTTGCTAGGCTCACTGGTTTACACAGTGTAGTCCCCAAACCTGCAGCATCACTTCACCTGGGAGCTTGTTAGGAGTGCTAATTATTGGGCCTCAGCCTAGACTTAATTAGAAGCTCTGGAAATGGGCCCAGCAGTCTGTTTTAGCAAGCCCTCTGGTGCATAGTCGAGTTGGAGACTCTGTTGTGACTTGTTGACAGGAGGACTCAGAGCAGCATGGCCTGTTTGTTGATGATGGGGTATTGGGTAACCAGACAGGACCCCTTAAGAACCAGTAGTGTGAAAATGTCAAGTTCTGCATAATTAGATTATCCCTATGTCCAAGAATGTTGTGTGATAGCAGGGTTGCTTTACCCTCACAAATGTAGTTGAAAGAAAAACAATGTATCACAGACTCATGGCACATTTTTATCATTTATATGTACAGCTCAATTTCTATACCAAAGCATTATTGCTCCATAATTGTGCTCTGTTATATAGTTATGTGGTTTTAACAAAACTTGCTGGGTTCAGTGTTTTCATTTGAGCTTTTTGTACTTCCCCCTTTATTTTCCACTTACAAAATGCTCTCTTGTCCATGTAGGAATCGGCATGATTTGAGTCAGTTTCCTCTTGGAAGCCTGCTTGACCTACAATACATCCACCCTCTGTTAACATCACACAGTCCTAAAAATCATTAATTTTCTTAACTTTTTTCTAGCATATTTAGTAGCAGTTAAAGCAAATATAAAGAAGTGCAAATATACTTTATAGAGTATGTTTCTTAAGATTCAACTGCTTTTTAAAAAAATTACTTTCAACATTCATACTTAATACATCCTTAAATGCTACAATTACTGTTTGGAAATACAACGTACAGCCATAAGTTTTTAGGAAAGGGTAGAAGCAGTATTTCCTGTATATGCTCTTCTGATGAGCCTGTTTAATTCATTTAAAGTTCAAGTGTCAGTCAACACTGAACAGTTCTTGCACATTAACCTCTTGTTTTGTCTTCCAGAATCTCCAGAGGGTGGGGATGGGGATGCTTTGTTACCAAATGTAAAGTTTCACTTTTTTCCTAATTATTCTTTTCTCCCTTTTTAATTATAAGAAGTTGTTGGTTTCATAAACTGTATATGAAAAAAAACGTTGTTGGCTTCCTTTCAAGTCAACCTCGGAAATAAATTAATTTTGTTACTGACATATTGAAGTGATCCAGCAAGCATTCCCCCCATCTGTTCCTCTGAGTCTCCTCTGGTTTATGCTGGTCCTGCTTTCTTAGCTGCCTGGTTCTTCTTCCTTTCTCCCTTCCCTCTAAGGCTGTCTTAATTTAGAAAAAATGTTTGGAAAAAGTTATTTTTAAAGGTGTAGTATGTCTTTCCTGTAAATTCTCGGCCACCACATTGCATTTTCCCCACTGCCCACCGGTGGCCTCACTCTGCATCAGAGAGGAACACTAGAGTACATGTTGTTCATGCTTTATTAAAAATACTTTTAAATATCACTTTCAGGTGTGTGTGTGTGTGTGTGTGTGTGTGTGTGTGTGTGTGTAAGTACCACTCAGTGAAAGTTCAGTTTACAAATTAAATTTTCATATAATTCAGAAAGATGTCTTACATAAACCCAGTTTTATCTTTGGTTGCATTTGGGGAAAATAAGACTGATAACATTTATGTTTAAGTGAGTTTCTCAACAGTGTAAATGAGCGTTACAGTGTCTTAAATGTGAATATTATTTTAGCTGAATAATACCGCTCTCAACAAACAGTTTAAAAGTCATGCATGAATTATAACATTTTTGGGGGGGGGGAGCCTTTTTATAGTAACTTTCTGATATAATATCTGAGGACATTTTTAAAAGTTTTAAAAATTATCTTCATTAAGTGTGTTGTGAGGTAAAAACTTAAATTTGGCCTAGGGAATGTTATAGATTGCATCTTCAGGTGCCCTTTAAACTGATACGTATGTTCTCCTTAATCTCAATTTTTTTCTGAAGTGTGTGCTGATAAAGAGCTGTGTTGTGATGCCCCTTGGAGGTGCTAACTCAGAGTGGCTCTGATTTCATCGTGATGACAGATTTACTGAGTTATAATCTAGAACTATTGATCAGTATGACCTAGGGTCCAGCTAGTTGCTGTGACTTCAGTCTTAGAAAAACACAGTGAAAGTATAGACATTTTACACTTTCCTTTTTCTTTTCATCCAGCTCGCATTGGTGACTTGGAGAGATTGTCTATTCAGGCCCTTGAACAAACAGGTACTGTTGGAGTGTGTATGCCACTTTCCTTATGAAACCCCTACAGATTTCATCTCTCAGCCATTGTCTTCCTATCTCCTTTGGAACGTCTCAATAGTATCTCTCATCTTTGCATTGTTTAATGGATTTAAATGTTTAAAAGATATGTAGTAATACAATACATACGTAGCCTGTAATCTACACATCTTTTTCCTATGTCCTTTCTGAAGGTAACCAATGCTGTTTTAAAACTGATTGAAAAGGAGAGAAATGGTGAAACCATCAATACAAGACTGATTAGTGGAGTTGTACAGTCTTATGGTAAACAGTTTTCCTTTAATTTATTCAATGTTGTCATACCAAATATCAGTTATAACAGTACTCCAACAGATTTATTTTAAAATATTTTATCAAGATTACAGGTAGAATTTACAAGGGTACTTAATAATTCTCTTAAAGTTAGTGTGATTCTATTTGATATTACCCATCATAAAATTGTTTGGTCCTTGTACCTTAAGGAAAATTTGATGTAATAGACATTTGAATTATTTTCTTTTCTGGTCTCATGCTGAATTACTGGATATATAATATGACCGTGTCATTAATGGAGGTGAATTATAACCAGAAATTTATATCAGCTTGGAAAATTGAGATGGAAAAACCAGTAAAGTCATACACTTTTTAAAATGTGGGTAGCATTGTTTGTTTGTTTTTTGTTTTTGTTTTTTAAGTTTAAAAATCATTTTTATTATTTCTACACTGTCAGGAAATATAAAAAGTTTTCTAAAGGAGCTTCATGATAACTTTGAAGCATGCCTGGCCATTGGTCAGAATTACTTCCTTTTGTATGTCTTGTATGGTTTTTCATTTTTTATTTTATGGAAACAGTGTACTTTAATACTAGTGAATAACAGACTTTATGTCCTGCCATTTCACATTTACCTTTTAAGCATAACTTAAATTGGATGCTACACCTAAGTATATTCTGTAAAATATAAAAAATAGGGTAATTGAAATACACTTTATATTTCTTTCTAGTGGAATTGGGGCTGAATGAAGATGATGCATTTGCGAAGGGTCCTACGTTAACAGTGTATAAAGAATCCTTTGAGTCTCAGTTTTTGGCTGATACAGAGAGATTTTATACCAGAGAGAGTACTGAATTCCTGCAGCAGAGCCCAGTTACTGAATACATGAAAAAGGTGAGCTTCAACAAAGTACCTTAAGTGGCCTTCAATGAAAATTACTGCTGTCAGATGAATTCTTCTCTTTAGTATATTATGTGCAACTTTCTTCGTGGGCAGTGTGACTGTGTGTCTATAGCAGGTGCAAATGGTTTTGATTGGTCTAGGAGCTATTGTAAATTAGTTTAATAATCACAACTCAGTGCTGTCTTCACTGTTCTAAAGAGAGAAGTATAATAGCTTGTATGTTTTGCACTGTCTCTCCTAGAATGTATCTCGACGTTAGTGGGAACCACCGTCTCACCAGGTTGAGAGAAAATAAGTTTTAAACAAATAGTCTCAAATTTGCAGACTTTAAGCTTTGCTTTTTTGTTTATAAAATATCCCCTACCCCTAGCTGGTTTGGCTCAGTAGTTAGAGCATCATCCTGTGGACTAGAGAGTCCCGGGTTCGATTCCAGTCAAGGGCACATGCTTGGATTGCAGTCTTGATCCCCAGTAGGCGGCGTGCAGGAAGTAGCCAATCATGATTCTTTCATTGATGTTTCTGTCTCTATCTCCCTCTCCCTTCCCCTCTGAAATCAATACAGAAATTTTTTTTAAATCCCCTAATAATCTGCGACACAGGCTTCTAGTCTATGTTAGAGGAGAGACTCTCCTAACACCACAGGACCCCGTCCTTGTGCAGAAGGTCAGAATGGGCCTGGATCATGAGCCTTCTCTGTACCCAGTGAGGTTATGATGAAGTTCTAGTGTGGTGGTTCCTTGTTCTCTTTCTTGGTGATCCAGGTATGTTAGATGAACATTCTGAGGAGTGACCCAGGTCCAGAGTTAGCGAACTTTCTGCAAAGGGCCACACAGTAAATGTTTTAGACTTTGTGCAACTTGTGGTCTCCATGCAGCTGTTCAGCTCTGCTGCTGTGGTGGGAAAACAGCCATGGCAACATCTACATAGATAGGTGTGGCTGTGTTCCAATCAGACTTTACTTAAGGGCAGGGTTTGGCTCCACCAATATGTACGAGATGTACAACGAGATTTCCAGGGAATCTGAGGCCAACTATGTCTGCTGTGTGCTTTGCCCCTTGTGCTCTTTTCCTGGGAGAGCACGTGGACTATAGAAGCAATTTTTCTGCAAACTGAAATAGAAAGCTAGTAAGGCAGCTTAATAAGACCAGAAGCTCCCTCTCAAACCACATTTTTGTGATGTTCTTGGTGTATTTCCCATAGGGTTGTGATTATAAGTGGGCTTTAGAAGTTTGACATTGAAAGTCCTTAACAAATTTCTGATATCTCACAACCTAACAAAAACAGAACTCTTGAAAAGTATTGTACTTGGAATTGTAATAGTTCTTTGTACATATTTGTGGGTTAAGTCAGCTTTTGTATGCTGACCTGGAACCTAACCAGCTTGTCCAGAGTTTCAAACAGCTGCCTACAAATGGACTTTTGAAACATAATCTGTTTTGAATCTTAGCATTGCCTGTTATTTAATTTTAGTTTGGCAGTGTAGTTTTTATAAATACATCTTTTATGGAATTCTATTTATGGTGAGTCTTTTAAAATGGTGCATGTTTTAAAAGTGGGGCCATTTACTTTAGTCAAGGTGCACATCCACAGCAGTGGGTGAGCCTGTTCTTTCCATGAATTTTGACGTGGACTGAGGTCCTACCAGCACCCGCCCTGAGGAAAGTGTACTAGTAGTAACTTGGTGCAAGGAAATCAGCTTTTTAGACCAGGGGTCCTCAAACTACGGCCCGCGGGCCACATGCAAATACAAATATTGTATTTGTTCCCGTTTTGTTTTTTTACTTCAAAATAAGATATGTGCAGTGTGCATAGGAATTTGTTCATAGTTGTTTTTTTTTAAACTATAGTCCGGCCCTCCAACGGTCTGAGGGACAGTGAACTGGCCCCCTGTTTAAAAAGTTTGAGGACCCCTGTTTTAGACCATAAGCACGCCCCAAGCAGGGCATTTGGTAATCCTCACCCGAGGATATTCTTCAATTTTTTTTTAATTTTTTTTTTTTGAGAGAGTGGAAGGGAGAGGAATAGACACAGAGAGAGAAACATCAGTGTGAGAGAGGCACATTGATTGGTTGCCTCCCACACACACCCCAACCAGGGGTCGGGGAGCAGGCCTGCAACCAAGGTACATGCCCTTGACCAGAACTGAACCTGGGACCCTTCAATTCGAAGGCCAACACTCTATCCACTGAGCCAGGCTGGCTTGGGCGGTAGTCTGTTTTTAAAATCAGGCATGGAACCAATGGCAATGTGAAGAGCAAAGATTTGTAATGGCCTGGGTGTTTTCAACCCAGTATGGGCCTGCCTTCCAGGGAGCAGGATGCTTCCTGCATCCTGGTTTTCTTAGAGTGGATTTCTTTCTAGAGGGCTAAAGGTTTGGTCCAAATTGATTGGATCTTATCATACATGATTTTCATCACATTCAGGAAGTCCTTATGCATAGAATCTATGAGCACAAAGTTGCAATTAACCATGCAAACAGTTCTGCTCTTACCTACACATAACCTTGCCTCTCAAAACCGGGCTATAAGTCTAGTTTTAAATCCCCACTCCACCATTTACTAGGGGATTGACCTTAATCTTTTGTTTCTCAGATTCTTCATCTGTAAAATGGGACTAATAAGCTATTGTAGATATACATGTTATATTTGGCAAACAGCAAAGCATGATGTATTTGTTACTATACCTGTGCATTGATCAGAATCTCCATATGTCTGGGTGTGTGCAACACCATAGAATAAAGATGGCCCATTTTATTCAGTGACTTAAGGTGGAATTATGTTTATATTACAACATGTTATCGGGAAATAGAATACAAAACTCATGAACAATACTGAGATAAAGCGTGAATATCGAAATTCGTATTCTGCTTTCAGCAGCCAAATTGGACTGAATATCCACATACTCTGGGGTTCTCTGTCCCTATTTCTGTGTTATGAGTGCAAGGTCTGGAGGATCTTTGGCTTCTCTTTCTAAGGAGGCTTCAGTGAATGAGCAACCCTGAGCCACATCAGTATTTTTTTTTAATATATTTTTTATTGATTTCAGAGAGGAAGGGAAAGGGAGAGAGAGAGAGAAACATCAATGATGATGAGAGAGAATCATTGATCGGCTGTCTCCTGCACACCCCCTACTGGGGATCGAGCCCGCAACCCAGGCATGTGCCCTTGACCAGAATAGAATCTGGGACCCACCCCTCAGTCCATAGGCCAATGGTCTATCCACTGAGCCAAACCGGCTAGGGTGCCACATCAGTATTTTAATGTATCTTGCAGTCTTGTCACTGAGACTAATCTGAGCTACAAAAATATCTGATTACTCTAGGTTTCTAATGTCATTTTAAAAACTTTAAAAATAAACTATGTCTTACTTCAGCAATTTTCAACCTTTTTCATCTCATGGCACACATATACTAATTATTAAAATGCTGCAGGACACCAAAAAAATACATTTGTTTGCTGATCCGACACAATAAAATAGGTATAATTTTGACTCATTCACACCAGGCAGTTATCTTTGTGTTGGTTGTCATTTTTAAAAATTTGACAATCGAAGGGAAAAGAGGTTGGTCCCCTTGACTAAATAGTCAAGTATTGCATGTTGTTTTTTGTTTGTTAGTTTTTAAAATATATTTTTATTGATTTCAGAGAGGAAGGAAAAGGGAGAGAGAGATAGAAACATCAATGATGAGAGAGAATCATTGATAGGCTGCTTCCTGCATACACCCTCACTGGGATCAAGCCTGCAACCTAGGCATGTCCCCTGACCGGTAATTGAACCGTGACCACCTGGTTCATAGGTTGACGCTCAACCAATGAGCCATGCCGGCGGGCAAGTATTGCATGTTTTTAAAATTTTGCAGCACACAGGTTGAAAATTGTTTCCTTACCTTTTTTTGTTGTTATTTTTACTGCAAACTGATTCTAATAGAATTATTAGGGATAGGACATTTATATTTAGTCATTTTGAATTTGATCTTGGTATTCTAATATACTTTCCTCCAGTCCTCCAAGTACAGTGACAATCAAGAGCTTGACTTAAAATCAACAAAGAATGTCATGCCTGAAACCTAATACTACAACAATATAACACCTAGGACCTTGGTTTCTTTACTTGTGTATAAAATAAGTGATTGCTGAGGCCCCTTAGGTACCAGTTACGGTTCCCTTCCCTCTGGGCTGCTGCAGGAAGGGTTTATAGAATGCTTCTACTTTGTAGACCAAGAGGTGGAGAGTCTGTGCCCCCAGAATAAATCAGCCCTGTTTGGGAAGGGATAAAAGCTTGCTGCCGGAGAAGGCAAAATTTTTAAGAGATGAATTTTTGCTGCCCAAAGTGATTATGTTCTTCCAGGAAATGATTTAACTTAAGACAGAAAGTGGCACTTTGGGGTTTACATGCTCTATATTTCATCAGCTTTAACTCTTAAAGTATCCGGCTTAATGAAATATTAGATAGGAAGCAGCAGGTTCTTAACGTAGAACTTCTGAGTTCAAGCAAATAAAGATCTCTTACTGTTTTTTAAAATAACTTTGTAATCAGAAAAAAATACACGTTAACTATAAACTTTTTGGAAAATATAAGTAAAACAAACGTATAAGCCTGGGATGCTGTAATTTAACTAATTAGCTCTTACTGAAAACTTTAAGTTTTTTTATTTCTTCATTTGTAAATTGTTTTTTCCTTTTCCGTGTTTTTATTTGGCTATACTCATTGATTTTTTCAGAGATTATATATTAAGGATATTGACCTTTTGATACATACTACAAATACTTTTCAAGTTTATTTATTGTTCACAATTAACTATTTAGAATGTACGTGGATCTAACTTCTGTAGTTTAAACAGTTGTCTCATTGTTAAGTCTTGACAGTTGCAAATTCTAATTGGGGTTTTTTTATTTTATGTTTTCTTGGCTCTTGGGTGTTTATTCTTCCAGTTGAATTTTTCCAGAGTTCTCCAAAATTATGCCAAATTTAAAAATCATTTGGAGAGTATTGGCATTCTTATATTACAAAATATAGTTTTTGTCTCTCTTATTTCAGATCACCTGAATAATTTCAGATTATCATTAAAATATCTTTTTTGCTTTAGTAATTTAGTAGTTCCTCAGTGAAACTTTACACCACACATATTTTTGGTGTGATGTATTGTAAAATTTATTACTTTGATTAATTTTGCTATTCTGTTAAATTGTATCTTTGTGTTATTTTTCTTTTTGAAGGGCAATGTGAGAAATTGAGACTCATGAGTAATCCAGTAGATTTCAGAGGTGCATAAATTTAATGATTGGCCAGAGATTGGCCATAATGTTTTTCTTAAAATTTAAAAAAATATGTAATTACTAATAATTATTTCCATGTGGTCATTTCTACTCCAAGTAGCTTCCAGTCAAAAGTAGTGGTTCTTGGTGTTCTACATATAGGAAGTGTCTATAGGTTTCTCAGTGTCAGATAGAAGTATTACCCCCAAAGGTGAAATGCCACACATAAAAGGAAGAAAATGGATCATTATAACCTCATTAAGTCATTAAAAGAGGAGTTTGAAGGGGAAATGTTATATTGCAGAGAAAATGGAACACATCAGGGTCCCCTTAAATATGGCTGGGATTCATCCTAAAATCAAAGTACCGCGCCCCTTTTTTTAAAGTAGTTTTTTATTAGAGTATGTTTGTGAGTTTTAATTTGCCATTTTTCATTTAATAGTTTAAAATAAAAAAGAAATCAGACCTCTCACTTAACTCCTCCAGGCAGAGGCCCGTCTGCTCGAGGAGCAACGGAGAGTGCAGGTCTACCTCCACGAAAGCACTCAGGACGAGCTAGCGAGGAAGTGCGAGCAGGTGCTCATCGAGAAGCACCTGGAGATTTTTCACACAGAGTTTCAGAACTTGCTGGATGCTGATAAAAATGAAGGTGAGCCTCTGCGACTCCAAACCTGTAGATGCTTTTTACGATCTATGGTTTTGAAAGTGGAATTCTTGACTTAGAGTTAACAGCATTACAACCATCAGTCAGTTTTTAAAAGATTAATGTCTGAGTGTCTACCTTGTATTGATTTTGGACCTCTGGAGAGTGTTTTGGGTATGACTTGGGGAAGAGCATCTTTTCATGTTTAATTTGAAATATAGCTTGTTCTACGACTTTAGCATTAAATAATATCACCCTTAATTTCTTATTGAATATTTTTCTTTTGAAAATTCTTCAAGATGAAAAGGTGATTGATTATTTTGCCTTTCTCTTATCCCTCCCATGTTTTACTGGGATGTGTTAGGAGCTCAGTAAATGATTGATTTGGGGATTTGGGATTTTTCTTCCTTGGCCGTCATAAACTAACCACATGCCATACATACAATAAATGAGGAATTTTGGGGCCCTTTTGTGACTCATTTGTTATATAGTTGAGATGGATATTTGTATCTTCTTTAATTATTCATTTTGTACAACAAATGTGTGAGTGCCTATTATGTGCTAGGCATAAATTTTATTTCAATGCTTTAGGAAGCATCAGATGTTTCCTGACAAAAAGATTTTTGTCTATTATGTTAGTGGATTCTTATAGTAAGGGGGGAATATAAAACTTATAAAAGCATGACTTCATTGTTATTGCTAGTTAAATATGTAAATGTTAAATACAAAATATTTTATTGTAATTAAGTCTTATTAAGTTAACTTAATAAGTTAACTTATTTCAGGGTATTGTACATCTCAGTATAAACACATACTCAGTGGGGTGGATATGCAGAGTTCACCTCGGTGCATAAAGATGGTGCCTTTTTCTTTCAGATTTGGGTCGCATGTATAATCTTGTATCTCGAATCCAGGACGGCCTAGGAGAACTGAAAAAACTTTTGGAGACACATATTCATAATCAGGGTCTTGCAGCAATTGAAAAGTGTGGCGAAGCTGCTTTAAATGTAAGTACTATTTAACTTGAACTGCAGTTGGGCCTAAGCATCTCTACGTGTGAACTGCAGGTGTGTGCAGTGTCTTCGTTCACTAGACTCCCAGAGAGAACCTCGTGTGGCTTTTTCAAGACGGTTCACAACACCTATGTAGTAAACGCCTCCAGAAACTCTTCTCTGGCGCTTTTTAGGCATTAAGGATATCATTTCTTTATATATTTTTTCCTTTATGTCTTCTCACTATTACATTCTGTACACAGAAGATTTCTTTCATAGAAGAAGCAGGCTTTGTCACTCACAGGCCACAGGCTGTGCCTTTCAGGAGCTTTGACCTGAGAACTGCTCTCCAGTTGAGGGTCACAGGGCTGTTTGCCCTGGAAAGGCCCAGAAATGTATAGCATTTCTCCTCCACTCCCCCCGCCACAGGAGTTGCATGGAATATTCCTTCTAGATTACCTTATAATTCAAGTAATAATGTTACATAGGAAGTATCTGTGTCTGAGACAGGTACGTTGTCTTCAGTTTTGTCCCTATTGTGAACTTCAATTCTAATAGTGTTTGGGAGAGCTAATGGAGAAAAGTTTCTAGAACATAGTGCTATATCTGCATCAGATAACTTTTCATCTCTCTGATTTTATTGTGTTTAATTATTTTTTACCATACTACTTTTTTAAATATGTTTTTAAATTTTTTTATGTCCCTGCTGTCTTTGGAAGACTTCTTTTTCACTTTTTTTTTTTAAACTATGTTTTTATTGATTTTTTTTTATTTTTTATTTTTTTTTAATTTTTTTTAGAGAAGAAGGGAGAGAGAGATAGAAACATTGCTGAGCTGTTGGCTGCCCCACACACACCCTCTACTGGGGATGTGCCCTGCCCAGTAATCGAACCAGTGACCTCTTAGTGCATGGGAGACGCTCAACCAACTGAGCTACACCAACTGGGCTTCCTTCTCCATTTTTAATTACGGGGGTTGCTGCCTCACTCGCCGGATCTATGACTTACTAGGGGGAATGAATGTAAACCCCTTCTTCTAGGTTTATGAAATAATTTTACACTTACATGATGGGAAGGAACTGGCTTAGTAGTGGGTTTTGTGAAAAGGTTCTACAGGTTTTAGTGTAAGTCTAAGAATGAAGTCCTAGCCCTGGGACATGAGTGGTGTGGCAGTGGAGCCATTGAGTGCAGACCAGGACAGCCTGTTCTGGTGCAAATCCCAACACACACACACACACACACACACACACACACACACACCCCGTGGGGCCCTCCCCCCCAATCCCCGGCACTAACTGGGATCTTCCTGTCAGTTTAAAAAGAATAATGATAGTGACTATGTAAGGGGTTTTATGAATAAAATAGTTGTAAAGTGGTTATTAATTCCATCAGTGCTCAGCAGTGATGACTATAGTTTTTACCATTGTATACAATTTTAATTTTATAAACTTTTCTTACATCTTGACATTCCTTATTGCAAACTAAGTGTTCCTTTTAAAGGGCTTGATATACACACCCATGTGCACATACGTACATGTGATCCAGAAGGGGCTAACTTGATGAACAAACTGTTTCAATAATGTAAGGTGTTTTCACAGTTACTAAATCAAAGCTCAACTTAGCAGTGTGGGCACAGTTGAAAGCCAACTTTCCTTGAAATGAGTTCAGTGCTGAGTCTGTTTCTTCGGATGTGGATTAGAGTAGTTCAGATAAATGAAGCAAGTGTGCTTTTCCATGTAAACTGTTGTATATTAGATGCGAGGCTGGCTTCAGGGCACTTGTGTTCTAAGTGAATATAGTTAGGTTAAAAATATATGTAATAAATTACTTTTTTTGTTTTCATAAAATAATGGAGTATTATTTCTGATGTCTGTCTTTTCCAAACTAGAGTAAGGTCCTAGATTGGAGAAGTAATCATTCTGTAATTCTCAAGTACCATTGTTTTCTTTTTCATTTGGATGCAGTCAGCTGACATGGTCAGTGAGTCTTGAATCGGATGTTTAGTTTTTCATAGCCAGTTAAAGCAGAAGTCCAGCTTCTGGGTAAAATTGTTTTTCTATTTGTGGAAACTTCATCTGCCAGCAGGAAACGGCACAAAGAAACCAGCAGTTATATTTTACTAGAAATTAAGCTTTTAAATAGTACTTTTATTACTTAAATGTCATCCACTAATTAACATGAATTGAAAAACCTAAACAAGGTTTTCCCCATGAAGAGTAATTGTATAAAGAGTAATTGTGACCATGTATTACATCTGCTTTAACTTTAAAAAGTCAGATTGCTTTTTTAATACATTATTGATTATAATTATTATTTCCATGAGAACTTTTTGTTGTTAATCCTCACCCAAGGATATTTTTCCATTGTTTTGTGTGTTTTTTTAGAGAAAGTGTGTGGGGGAGTGTAGAAACATTAATGTGAGATACATCAATTGGTTGCCTCCTGTACACGCCCCATCCTTGACCAGGAATTGAACCCGAGGCCCTCTGATGTGAGCGCTGATGCTCTACCACTGAGCCACACCACCAGGGCTATGAGAACCTTTTCTGTTGGACTCATGAAACTGTTTTGTTGTTGTTGTTTTCCCTAATAAAGAAACATTTTTCTTTATGAAAGCAAGTACCTCTATTTTCTTCAAAGGAAGTTTTTTCTCCCTGAATTTTTGTTTTATTCTCTTATTTCTAAAGTCTCAGTGGACTCACGAGTTTGCAGGGCCATCTGACTGGTGCATGGGTGCTGGCACAATCTCCAGGTCTGAGTTACACTGCTGCCTTCATTCACCTTTGATGGGAAAGTGCTCCGAACTTGAAGAATCTCAAGAAAGAGCATGTGTACCCAGTGCTTAGCCTGGCACATAGTAGGTGTTTAAATACTTGTAAGAAAGAATCAATACAGCTGCTAAATTGTAATTTTCAATAGGCATTAATTTTCATCACATCTGTGGTAAAATGTAGCAGATATGTTGTGACACAGCCATGATTGTTTCTCATAACCCACTGATGCTGAAAAAACAAAACAAAACAGTAGATTGTTTGAATTAGTAAAAACCATTACAATTATTATACATAATTTTAGTGAGGACTTAATTTGAGAACATAATTTTTAAAGTTTGAAAATTTTTGCCAAAATAATTGAATTGGGTCATGGTATATGAGAATCATTTCTAATTAGCATATTAAATATCATAGAATACACTGCTTCAATGATTTTTTTAAGGGCTAAAAAGTTTGTGATCTAGACCTGTGATTTCATTTACACCATCAGTTTGGTTAGAAAGCAGTTTTGCTGCTAGTTATATACTGACCTAGACTGAAATTATTACAGGTTTCAAGTTGGTAATGTGATTCAAATAATATTTTATGTTAGAAACTTCAATATCTGCTTAAGAATATTCTTAAGGCATTTTTTTTCATAGTTAAAACGATTTAAAACTTAAAGGCTGTCCCTGAATACCTGACCCTTGTGGAGTCTCCACTTCACTGGCAGTTGCCCTCAGTGAGGTTTCACTAAGGAGCTGGAACACCTGCTCTTTCTTGGACCTGTCCTGACACCCAGGCCACTCAGGGCTCCAGGAATTTGGGTTGTGGTCAGGGCTCCTCTTCGAGTTCAGAGGTTTCTAGGCTGAATGACGCGGACACAGGTCAGGGGGGGGTCCCTCCCACCCACCATTGTGCAGGGTGCCAGGTGTTTGGAAGAGTTCTCTCAGCTTTACAGACCCTCCTAGTAGCGGTTATTCCTGCCTCACTGAGGTACTACAGGACAAACCGGCATATTACATTGGAAACCTTGTACACAGAGAAAGAGTCACAGGTGCGATTTAGAACTGGGTGAGTGCTGAACAAAGGAGCAGTTAAGTAACTTTTTAGTGGGTGAGTTTCATAGGCAGGTTACCCCGTGTGTGCCTTCTGGACTGAACAGAGAGAATGGGCAGCATGGTACATCAGCACATTTTACTCTTCATTGAAACTCTTTTGTAAGTCAGATTGTGAAGGTGTGAGCTTGCACGAATGGGCCAGAGCACTATAGATGTGTTCAGTCCTTGGCAATAGTGAGAAAATAATCGTCATTAAAATGGAGGAGGAGGGTGCGCTCCATCCTCTTCAGACTCTTAGGGGCATCTTGAAAGTACAGCCCACACCTTCAGGTGTTTATGTTAAAAAATGGAAGGGCCAGTATGGTTGGCCCTAGGCAGGGATATAGATATCTATCTATCTGTCTATCTATCTATCTATCTATCTATCGATCTATATCCCTGCCTAGGGCCAACCATATATATATGTATAGAGAGAGAGGGAGAGAGATTAGATATATAAATTAGATATATAGATTAGATATAGATTTTTTTTTATCTCCCAAAACAACTAGTTTCATGGTGCTGGCTAGTGTTGCAACTCAGAGGGCCAACAAATGTTACAGATAAAATTGAAATCATTATTTTCGTTCATTCAACAAGCACTTATGGCATTCCTTAATGTGAAGAATTCTCCATTGATATGCCTCTCATCGAATTCCCATGACCTCATTTCCAGTTGGCTGTATTTAGTTGACTGGTTCAGTTTAAACACACGTCTTCCTTCCTCTAATTCTCAGCACAAAGGTGGCAACTGGGTAGTATGTTTCCCCCTCTCGCCCGCCTTCTGCTTGGCCTGTGGCAACATTAATAATCTAATCCTATATAATAAGGAGGTAATATGCAAATTGACCCTCACAAGATGGCTGCCTACCACCAGGCCGGCAGGGGGGTTAGTGAGGGACGACCAAATGACTGAACAGCAAGCTGCATGGGGCAACCAAGCCGGTGGGGAGCAACCAGGCCAGCAGGGAGGGGCAGTTGAGGGTGACCAGGCGGGCTGGCAGGGGAGCAGTTAGGGGGTGATCAAGCTGGCAGGGGAGCGGTTAGGGGGTGATCAGGCAGGCAGGCAGAAGCAGTTAGGGGGCAATCAGGCAGGCAGGCGAGCGGTTGGGAGCCAGCAGTCCTGGATTGTGAGAGGGATGTCCCACAGGGATCGGGCCTAA